CAAAAGTCACACATTTTTTGTTCTTTTTGATATGATAAACTTAATTGCAAATTTGGTAAAAATTTAAGGGATTTAAAATTGCTCACCAATTTGGAAATATTAGCCCTGAAAAAAATANAAATATCTATTTAAAATTTAAAGAAGTTTATCAAAAGTCACACATTTTTTGTTCTTTTTGATATGATAAACTTAATTGCAAATTTGGTAAAAATTTAAGGGATTTAAAATTGCTCACCAATTTGGAAAGATTAGCCCTGAAAAAAATATGTTTCTACAATTAATGCTGATTGAAATTTAAACTCAATTTTATAATTCGTGTAATTTTTTTTTTTTGTTATTTATTTAAGTAGATCATAAAAATAAGTGAAACAGACGTGGTTTTTATAGTTGTCATACTGTATCATATTAAATACAATTGTAATTTTACTAAGTGTCTCAAATCTATATGAAAACGCTTATACTTTTGACACAATTATCATTTTGTTGAATTTTTTTTTTTTGTTGAATAACCATTGGATTCTTTAGCTCATTTAGAGTGTATTTTTTTATTATTTGACAATATTGACTTATCGCTAATAAAAAAAAAAAAATTTATTTAAGTTATAATGAAGCTGTTTTTTAGAGCTTTACTTACAAAAAAAATTGGTGGGTGATGATAATTTTAGGATAAGTACATATCAAGTATAAATTATTTAACACATAGAGTGTGTATGGCCCGCTTTATAGGTACGCCAGTACAGTTTCGTCTACCCATCGACCCATTAATTATTTTTAGCTTAATAAGGTAAACTTGGAATATTTATTTGTGTTTAGTGAATGAGTAAAAGTAAATATTCATTTTACAAAAAGTTTTTATGAAGAAAAACGATTTTATATGTGATATATCTGTAAGAGCAGTCCAAAGGCCCATGTTTGGGTCGAAGCCCCAGATAGGCATAAAAAAATAAAAATAAAATTGATGAATAAATTAATTTAATTTATTTAAACCCAAATCTTCATAGTAAACTTTTATAAAATTATTAGAAAATACAATAAGTTTGTCACAAACAGATGAAAAATTGTCGGTACTTATTGACTCAGGTATATCAATATTTAACACAAAATTTTGTAATAGACATTGTTTTTCGTGTGTTTTAGGTAATGAGGAGATACCCAGTTTGTTAAATTGCAGAAATGGTGAGATATTTCTAACGCATTGCCTTGTGTATAATTCTGATGATACCTGATTAAAGGCATTATTTTTGCTATCCAAAATATCAAGTGAATAATTTCCAGAATTTATTTCGTCAAGGAATTTTGTTATTGAACTACACAAAGATTTTATGTTTGAACTGATGTTGTCATATAAATAATCTCCTATTAGTTCATTTAAAGAAATCAATGTTTTATACATAATATCAAAGATAATAGTTGTCTTATGAACTGTTTCAAAAATTTTACGTACAAAGACTATGTATGTTATTTCAGGATTACCTTTTGAATTTTCCTTTTCACAATACTCAAATAGGTAATTTACATAGTGACAATACTTAAACAGTATTTCTGTATAAATGCATTTGATAACTCTTAATATATGTTCTTTTTTACAATGAAAAGTTTTTTTGTCTGCTGGATGTCTGAGAATACGTTCTACGCTTATAACTTGACCATTAAATATAATATTTATATGATTCAACGATTTCCATCCACTTTCATTAGTAATTTCGTTTAATTGTTCGATTACCTGCTTTTGACTAGTATTTTCATATAAATGAACTGGATATCTGAAACTTTAAAAAATATATATACGCAATGTGATTTATTAAATACACTTCCTATAATTTTTTCGTTAAATAATGTTTTCATAAAAATTAATAGATTAATATTGAATTAATTTTTAAAAAACCGTTTTAAATATCACTTATAGTATATGAAAAATTATTCCTATGAGTATATTTTAGAGGTAACTTTTGAAAATTAAATAGGAACCTATTATTACATTTTTTTTGTATAAAAAGAATTAAATACAATTTTGACTAATATTTTCATACAAATGAACTGAATGTCTTACACTAAAAAAAATGTACATTATGATTTATTAAACCTCTCATTTTTTCGTTAATTAAAATTTTGACTGGTTCATAACCGGTTCGATAGCATTATTTTTTGAGTTATATGTTTAATTATATGTGAGGGGGTTCTCAATTTTGAATTCTTTTTAGGTTAGGGGATTTAGACTCTCGTATAGCGTATAAACATTACCAAGAACTTTTATTTTGTTTGTCAAAAATAAATAAGGGAAATTTGGAAAAAGGAATATTGTAAGTAAAGTGAATAATGTTAATTTATGTTTTGTATATGTTAACTTTTTCATTAATTGAATATTTTATGATATAAATAGATACTTAGTTTTTTAAAATTATTGATAAAATGATATTTTCAGTACAAGTATAATTATACTGTTGGTAGCTTTAAGAAGCCACAATATTAGGGAAACTCAGAAATTCAGATTTTTTCTTCAAATTAGTGCGCCAAATAACACTAATAAGATATAAATGATAGATTTGGATCTATTCTATTCTCAACCATATAAGGGTCTCTTTAAATGCTGAAGATTTTTTTAAATCAATCGGTAATACAAGAAAATACAGAATAAGTTTGGACGCATTTAAATGCTTTAATTGATGAAGTTTTCCATATTACTCTACAATAATGTCNGATGAAGTTTTCCATATTACTCTACAATAATGTTAATAACAGTTTTTTGAACTTTTTCATTAATTAAATATTTGGTTACATAAATGTTATTTCTAAAATTATTGATAAAATTATTTGTCAGTACATAAATTTATTATACAGTTGATAACTTTTAATAACCATAATTATTGGGAAACACGAAAAATATATTTATAAAATATTATTTTTCGTCTAGTAAGTAATAAGATACTTAAAAATAGATATGGTTCTATTTTATGTTATTTATATACGTCAATTTATAAGTTGTTTGTATTACTCTAGAAAATTTTCAATTTGATTTTCTTACCTTGCCTCATTTAAATCTAAAACCTCTTTAAAACCAAGATTTTTGTATAAATTTGTTGAAATTTCATCATAATATATTTTAAGCCATTCACTTAAATATTGACACAATTCAATGTATTTATTTTGTTGTGCATAATAATCTTTTAGATTCTCTTCAAGTAAGAACTTTGGTTTATGATTGTAAACAACTGAATTATTATTCTCTTTAATTTTCTGGTAGGTCTCGAAACCTTTTACTTCGATAAAACTTTTCACTTCCAAAATGACCTCACAAGCATCATTTTTAGTGTTGGGATCGTTTGGATTGACAAAAATCTGTGTATTTTGTTTAGTTTTTAATGATGCATATTCTACAAAAGTATAAATTTCATCTACTATAGGTACTGAGAATGTTTTTTTCCATTTCGCTAATAATTTAAAATCTATGTTGCTAAGATAGTTCATTACATTGTATAACTGTTGAAACATGGTTTTCGAAATTTCCACATCACTTTGAAGGAAATATGTACAACGTAATAAATTATCTCCCTGGTTGAAGTCGTAATATTCTTGACATTGGTTAGCTATAGTGCTAATATGATCAATAAATGTTTTGATGACTTCTGCGTACATGTAATTTAATGTATCAATTACGGCATCGAACTTTTTTGCTAGTATTGTACGACTCCCTTTGCAAATAACGTCTTTAATATTA